GACAACGAGTTGCTGGGGCCGGAGCTGCAGGCCAACGTGCGCCGCTGCAAGTACACCAAGCCCACGCCCGTGCAGAAGTACTCGATCCCGATTGGCCTGGCGGGCCGCGACCTGATGGCGTGCGCGCAGACGGGGTCCGGCAAGACGGCCGCCTTTTGCTTCCCGATAATCGCCAACATACTGAGGGGCGGGGTGGACTCCGTGGGCCGCAGCCGCAAGGCAGTGCCCCTGGCGCTCATCCTCAGCCCCACGCGCGAGCTATCCAGCCAGATATACGAGGAGGCGCGCAAGTTCACCTTCCAGACGGGCATACGCCCCGTGGTGATCTACGGCGGTGCGCCCGTGCAGCAGCAGGTGAGCGGGAAACCTCCCGGCAGCCCATGCATTCGCCAAACCCCTCCCTCGTTGGCATCCCAAGCTGACAGCCCATCCCGGCGCGCCTGTGTGTTTTGCGTTCTGCAGTTGCGGGAGCTGGAGCGGGGGTGCGACATGCTGGTGGCGACGCCGGGCAGGCTGAGCGACCTCATCGAGCGGGGCCGGGTGTCGCTGGGCAGGGTGCATTACCTGGCCCTGGATGAAGCTGATAGGATGCTCGACATGGGTTTCGAGCCGCAGATACGGCGCATTGTGGAGGGCGAGGGCATGCCGCCCACGGGCCAGCGGCAGACGCTCATGTTCAGCGCGACCTTCCCCAAGGAGATCCAGCGCCTGGCGTCGGACTTCCTGTACGACTACATCTTCCTCACGGTCGGGAGGGTCGGCTCCAGCACGGACCTGATCGTGCAGCACGTGGAGATGGTAGAGCAGGCCGACAAGCGCCACGTGCTGCTGGATCTGGTCAAGGAAGTGGAGGTACGGGACCGCGGCAGGCGTCACGGGGGCGCAGGGCGCCGCCTGCCCGCACGCTTGGGCGCGATCTTTGATGATGCTCAAGCTGCTGGCTGGGCGGCCTGCATGCTGGGATTTTGCCTGTTGCTGCCCTTGGCATCTTTGCGCCGGGCCGCTGACCTGGAAGTGGGACGTACCTGGTTGGTGTGCGTTGCAGGGACTCACGCTGGTGTTCGTGGAGACCAAGCGGGGAGCAGATGCGTTGGAGGACTTTCTGGTGCGACAAGGGCTGCATGCGACGAGCATTCACGGGGACCGATCGCAAATGGAACGGGAAAGGGTACGTGCCAGCGCCACAGGCAGGAGTGGTTGGCTGCTCCTGTGTGCCACACCCAAGCAGAATTTCTTTGCACATGGCTGCCAGGAGCCAGCAGCTGACCTCTCTTGCTGTGCAGGCTTTGGCCACGTTCCGCAGTGGGAAGACACCGGTAATGGTGGCAACGGATGTAGCTGCTCGAGGGCTTGACATTCCTCATGTCAAGCACGTTATCAACTTCGACCTGCCAAACGACATTGATGACTATGTGCACCGAATTGGTAAGAACGGAGTTCCTTGCTAGCTTGCACTCTGACCCCTGCCTGCTTCTGCTGTGCGGTTAGCTGCATGCCCACACTGGCTCCGTTTCACACCATCAAAACGTGCTTGGCATCCATTGCAGGAAGGACTGGACGTGCGGGCAAGAAGGGGCTTGCAACTGCCCTTTATGCTCCTGAAAAGGATGGTCAGATTGCAAGGGGCCTGGTTGACCTCCTATCTGAAACCAATCAAGAGGTGCCAGGCTGGCTGGCCGGCTGTGCTGCTGAGGCCGGGTATGGAGGCAACAAGAGAAGGGGCGGGAACCGCTTTGGGGGCAGAGACTTCCGGAAGGACAGCAACTGTAAGTCACCAAAAGCATGTTCCAAGGACTGGAAAATGTTGCTCATAGCACAGTGTGGTATGTGGTCTGGAAACAGCATGGTCTCCTGGTACACCATTTTCAACTGCAGAAGGGATACCAAAAGCTTGTTTTGGGCAGGTATTTCAGATTGGTGCAGGCCCCCTTGCAGGTCTGGAAAATTCATGCCTGGGTCTCCTGGTCTTTGTGTGGTTTGTGAAGTGGCCTGTTGCCTGCTCTTGCAGATGGCGGTGGTGGAGGAAGGAGCTGGAATGATGGCTATGGCGGTGGTGGTTATGGCGGTGGATATGGCGGACGCCAGCAGTCGTATGGAAACAGCTGTGAGTTCTCTGCTTTGCTGCATGCAGTGCATTGTACCTTGTTTCAGCCATCCCATCATATGCAGTCTTGCAATCGGCACCAGTTCATGGGTTGCCTAAGTGCTTGGTTGTGCTTGGTTCCTTCTGTTTGAATTTTTGGTTGATGCCCTCCATTGGGTAGGGTGATGTGCCTATGTGCTAAGTGGTTGCACGCTCTTACAAGGTGGCAATGGTAGGCCCTTTCCAACAATCCGGATATACTGTGCGGAATTCTGTGGTTAGGCTAGCCTCAGAACATTTTTAGCGCAATCTCAGGTGAATGGGTACCCACTGTGGAGCAGCATTGCTTTTGAACTGAAACTACATGCTGCACCCCAAAGAAAGAAAGTGCTAAAGGGTATAGCCCAAACTCCGCGAAGCTGTCCTCCAATTCCACCAGAATAGACATGGAAAGGATACGTTTGAGGGATGCCGTGGGATGAACAGTGTGTGAGTGCATCCTGCTGTGCAAGGATATCAAAGGGGCAAGTGGGGCTGAACAGACCAAGGAAGACAGTGAAGCATTCTCAAACCAGACAGTCTGTGGACTGAGAGGCTTGTACTGTTCATCGTTATCTTCTGCAAACATGTGGCTTGTGCTGTCCGAATCTTGTTTCTTCTGAACTTGCATGCCATCTTAAGCTGAGATCACTGGCATGGCAAGTGTAATAATGGAAGAAATATATCATGGACACAAGCCCAGGTGTCACTAATAGTATCAGTTCTGAAACTTCCTGTTCTGGGCAATGAATTTGTGGCAGCATCAATGCGGCCATTGGCGAGACCAGTGCCCCTTCTGGAGGATTGGAAGAGTGGCTGTCGTGGCCCACGGAAGGCTGCTGCAGCGTTAGTTGCTAGTCTCCATCCAGTAGCAGTCATTTCTTTGCAAATAGCTAGGTTTCATGCTGCATGAGCCTGAACTTCAAGGATATGTTCTTTGTCAACGTGGCCGTGCTGTGTTGTTGGTGATGCTGTATCAGGAACTGGAATTTGCAGATTATCTTGCGTCATTGGGTATTGCTCTTTGTTCATGCTCATGAAAATATCACAAGACATCTGCAAAACTGGAGCCAAGAATATTGTGATACATCAGCAAAGTCGTGATGGAGAGTTTAGTGACAGTCTGCAGGCTGTCAGATATGGTGCCCTCCACTTTGTCCTTGTGAGCTGCCAATTAGCTGATGTTGACTCAAGAAGGACCACACCTCTTGAAATTTAGTGAATAAGCAACTGGTTGCCCAGTTGATCAGAAGAATCGGCATATTGGGTTACCTTCGTAGGACTGACTGCATACAGTTATCCTGCGACCCTGCAGCTGGCTGAGTACAACATTCTGTTGGTGCTGGGTGGTTGCCTACCAGTAGTACTTTTTTTTACACACACATTCCAAATGTCCAAGTTCAGCACAGGTATGCGCGCTTCACAACTGTTCCAGGCTCCAGCTGCATGCCAAATAGATCCCTACCAGTCCTCCGGTTCATCCATTCGGGGCCGGCTCTGAAGCACTTTGCCGCCTTATGGCATGAAGCATGAATATAATTGCATACACAGCGAAGTCTGCCTACATCTTTATATCTAATGTGAAGGCCTAAGCTGGCTGCTGGGTGCCCAGAAGCCATGTGCGCTTTGTACCGTGGCTGCCGGTGTCCTTAACCGGACATCATTTCTTTCGGGGAGCTTGGGTTGGGCAAGAGAGTAACTGAACGAGCACCTGGGCTTGTGGTGCCTATTAGTAGCCTATCATACTTGTTATGAAGTAGAAATAGTGGAGAGTCTCTCACTGCCTTCCTATGTTGTACTTGTTATGAAGTAGAGGTAGTGGAGAGTCTCTCACTGCCTCCCTGTGTGAGCTGCTTTTCTTTGCGTTCTGGAAATTGCAGTCCTTGCGAAGACTCGTGGTTGTGGCAATCACTGTCTCACCTTGGTGGTCGAGGGGTAGCTGTAGCTGTTGGCATGTGTCACATACTGCTTGCAGAATTCTGTTTGCCGTAGTGCCTGTGCTAGTCATGTGACCTTCTGTTGGCTTCGATGTTTACTTCAAGCCTTGTCATCCCTGTGTAGGGGCATCAGTACCAAGTTCATGAGCTCCTTGACGCGATTTGTGTTTGTGCAGATGGAGGATACCACGGTGGTGGCTATCGTGGTGATGCATGGGGAGATTCCAGGGGCTATGGGGGTGGTGGACATTCTCGCGGCGGCGATGGTTGGGGTGGTTGATTGCTTGGCAAAGGCTGCTGGTGTGGCTGTGTGGGTGCGAGGCGCCACGGGAGCGTGCAGCTGATGTGGCATCGGAAGAAATTGCAGCAGCTGCACTGCCTACATCCACAGTGGACACGTGTGTTTCTTTGCAGGGACCAGGACTCACAGAGAGTCGTTCTGGTGTCACTGTTTTCATTCCAGCCAGGGTGGGTAGCTTGCACAGGATTGAGCGCGCAGGGTCTTTGCAGTTGTCGAGAGGGGACGAAGGGTGTGCGCTGTTCTGGCTCAGGCTTTGCACGCCTGCTGCAGACGATTCTGCGTGCGGAATAAGGGTGGACCCACGTCTGGCACCATGGCAGGGTCTGGCATGCCCTGGTTCACTTCCGAGACACTTTGAACAGGGGTGTGGGATTGTAGTCATGCGGCTACAACTTTACATAGGTTTGCAAGAAGCAAAGCCGGAGAGAAATGTCTTGTCTGGCTAGACAATTGTTTCAGGCCGTATCTTTATAAAAAGTGGTAAACGGAGCTGAAGGCGTCTTCATGAAGATGCCCTTTCGGCCCTCTTTTCAGACAGGGATTTGTACCGTTTTGGGGGGGTGCATTGTTTGTGAGGTTGCTTTGTGTGTTACATTCTTTATGTTCGTGGTCATGGACGCAATTGTCGCACACAAGAAAAACCTCTGTGTACATACCACCCCTACGTTCTTGGACTCTCAGTGCACAGATGAACGCCGTGACGTTCAAACTGAAGGGCACCAGCGGTGGTACTAGGATCGTTTGACGAAACTCTCGCCCAGGCGGCTGAAGAGCTATGGGACTGCGAGTTGCTGACAAGGTTGCACGCGTACAAACAACAAGCATTCTGACCCAACGGGGCTGTGCAGGTACGAATGGGAACAGGCACTAAAGGTGACGATGCACGGTCCTGATGTGATTCTTTGTGCAGTGATGTTGACCAGTGGAATGAACGTTCCAGCATGCGCCTCGCTGTGATTTAGCCATTGGTACAGATCTGAAAGCCAGTGATGCTATCTGTCGAAGTGGGTGGGGCTTGAGACGTGGCGTGGCCACACACGATGCTGTCCTGTATCAAAGTGTTCGGCTTTGCGAGCCCCAGACATCTTTGCAAGGGCGTGACCATTTGATGTTGCCAAAGACAAACAAATCAATATAAAACTGACAACATGGAAACGTAATTTGGGGTTACAGGTAATGCGTGGGATTACAAGTATAATAGGGTGTACAAGCACAATAGCATATGTACAACAGTAGTATAGAAGTATAACCCGCCGCCAGTGCTGCCAGCCCTTCGAGTTTCAACTTCTAAGAGTGGACTGCAGCATCGGAAGGATATGGTTGACATCCAGATTCTATGGCTTGGGACAATGCAGCTGAATGTTTGTCAGTGATCACGTGCGTTTTCGTCCAAAAGTGCGCTGCAACAGGTATGGTATTTTCCAATGGCTTGTAACCGTGTGTGACTAGTGCGTGCTATTGCGTGGTTAAGTTTCCTGATGACGTTCCATGCTCGTCGCAGTAGTTGCACCGACGCCCTGCGGATTTGTTGGCACCATCGCACATTGCTTGGCTGGAGGTCGCTGGCGACTTCTCCCAGATATGTGTCCCAAAACCTGCTGAAATCGAATAGCGCTTGGTGTGAAACTGCGGCGAAATTTGCCCAGATGATGGTACACATGGATTTAGCTACTCTGCAATTGTTGCATCCTCGCACACAATGCAGGCGCTAATTGGCTCCTAGTTCGCCGACATACCCCACATCTGACCAGGGTCGTGTATTAAGATACTGTCAGGTGCAGATTTAGGGCCGTAGATGTGTCTTTTGTAAAGGACGGCGGTCCATTCTGGCCGTCATCCCCGGAGATAGCGCAGTCAAATCACCGCTGGACGGGCAGCTGAGCCACGTCGACAGCCTCAGCATCACGTCAGTTGAGGGTGCACTCAGCGAACAAGCTTTGCCCCTCACGCGAATTGGCTCTTCACGAAGAACTGCTTGCCGTGACGATGCCAACGACCAAAAATAGCAGCGACGGCAAGGGAAGCTTTAGACGAGCAGCAAACAACCAATTGACCGTCAAGCGTGCAAGCACGCTCATAGAACCTCTTACAACTACCTCCAGAGTGCCACAACTGGTCGCAGCCACTCCCCAAAGGTCAGCGAGGTCAGGGCACAGGTCAATCCTACAGGTCGGGGCAGCCTTGTTCATAGCAAAGCGATACAATACACGAAAAATGCTGCTTTCTGCCAAGCCGGGCTCCTTGTCCCGCCCAGGTCCACACACACACTGGACCAATACATTACACAGATTATTGTTTGTCCCAATACAACCTGAGGTACCCACAACTTGTGTGCCCATTCACCCTCGGACACACTATGCTCCTCCGGAGCAGAAGATGTGGCAATACCGCTCATGCAAGCCCCGGGGGGTAATCGTCATCCACCGGAAGAGACGGTAATCCCATTCCGATGGGATTCGATACACATTGATGTACCGCCACATGGCCGCACTGCGCCAGTCGCCCCAGTGGCGGATGCGCTGCTCGGGCACCTCCCAAGGCGAAACAGGCTGACACCCCACCCGTGCGGAGACCATGGTGATCAAAGGTGCCGGGGTGCAGAACCAGCAAGGAAACCAAGAAGTCCCGAAACCACAATGAAACTGTGCGTGCGGACGGGTCACGTTCGCCCGGGAGGGTGAAGAAATGTGACGGGCCCCGGCCAACGTCCGCCCAGGCGCGATCCCGAAAGGCGCCCCATCGAAGGAGGAGATCAACAATCTCGGGAGCCCCACGAGACGGCCAAGAGCGGAGGCGGACGGCCGGGTCCGTACCGATCTTGAGCTTGGCCCGGCACTCCCGGAAAATGACGATCCGGTCTGCCACCCGCACATCG